GGTAAATGCCCATGACCTACCTTAGTTCCATGACATAGTAAACCACACATCCCAGGATTTTACCCTGAGTCTGCACTGATGCAGCAAGCCTTTGGTCTGTGTTGCAGAAAATGTGTCACCTGCAGCAGGGAACTTAATCAAATACAGAAAGCTGTGGCAACAAAGGCAGAAAAATAAAGGGGGAAAAGAGAAGTACATGAAGCCCCGAAGCCTGTGCAGGCCTAGGTAAGGACAGCTATGGGAGAAGGTGACTCTAAAGCCACCTTGTAAATAGCCATTCACCAACTAGCAGACAAAGCTGAACAGGATTCTCACATTCTTTACCAAGATACCAACCATAGAAGATTAAATTCCTTAATCAGAGAGCGTAGATGTTACAAGGTTTACTCGGATGTGTAACTGAGGAGAATATGTGGCAGGCAGATCTTTATGGAGTTATTACAGTGGCACACACCCCAGTAAAGAGGTCTCTTATACAACACAGATACGTTTGCTACACAGAAATTCAAGTATGGAAAAGCCAGGAAAAAAAACAATAAAGCAATATGTAAACTCACTCAGTTTTCATAATATTTTCAACTCATCAATGCGATCGAATATACGTGTATTCCAAATAGTACTGTTCCTTTCATACATAAAGAAATCTTATTTTTCTTTCAGTCTGCATATGCAAACCAATGCAGAGGAATATAGTAAAATAGTAAAAGGCAAAAAATTCAGCAGTCCTAAGCAATATACCAGATGATGGTACCTGAACTAAATAAATATGAAGCTTAAATCATATTTTGATGTTCTATTTCACTGGTTTGAGAAAGCATAGGTTTAGGATATAATTTAGTTATTAAACAAAATCCTTCAGTTGGATTTGCAGATCAGAGAAAATTAATATTTGGATTTAGTTCAGAGGTTGAGCAAATTAGCTCAGTTCACTCTAAGTTTGAGTTCATGGTTCATTTCAAGTTCTTGATAATGAGCCCATCAAAATAAAAATATTTAAATAATGTAATCAGTGCTGACATTTAAGAGTAAGTGTTCAGGCAAATATGTGTGTTAAAAAAACAAACTCACTTTACAGAGAGAGCTAAGGTCAAATCCGAAGGTTTGAGCATTCCGGGAGCCAGCATTCATGTAGTTTCCCATTAGCAACACAAGTTCCAGCAACTTGCTAAAGCTTTTGCTCTTCTTGATCTCTTCGCAGGCAGTACTGACAGCCATGATGTCAGGTTTGATGTTGTTCACCTGCTCTTCAAATTGAAGCTTAAAGAGAATAGCAGTGAGCCGTGGCCGGAGTCTCTTCACATTGCTCATCTGATTGAAAAGAAAATAGCAGATTTCCTTTAAAATGCATGGTATACTTCAGTACTGTACCTCGGCAAGTAATCTGGGATGATTTATTGGTATGACAGTACGGAAGAAGCAATATGTCCCCTGAAACTGATGGCAGGAAGAGGAGAGCTCTGCTTGTTTCTGTAAGGAATCCAGCCATCCTTCAAAAACAAAATTAACAATTCAGATGCGCAATGAAAAGAAAGCTTTAATGAAACAAGGAAGTTTAATTAAGCAATCAAATAAACATTAAAACAAAAACCCAAAGTTTTAAGAAATGTAACAGGATACACAGGAAATAGACTACAAAGCAGTCACATCATCACTAAATAATCTTTGTTCAATACTGAAATACACTGGGTCATGTTTAAAACATATTCAGAAAGGTCTAAAAAGGGTTTGTTTGCCTCAAATAGCAATTGCTGTCCTCAGAAGCCCTGCTGACTAACAGTATGTGTTAGATAGAGGGAGAGTAAATAGGTCCCAATTTGTACTAAATTGACTTTCCTCAGAAACACAGAAAGGAGAATGACTCCTGACACATACTAAATTAGCAGAATCAGAGTTAGGGAACATGGGCGTAGCAGGAGACAGTAGCACAAAGGCACTGGTCTGTCACATGACAAGGTAACGAGGGAGACTTGGTTTTGCTGCTGAGGATACAGAAGGCTAGAGGTATAAGAAAGAACTAAGGTCCCGTTTTAACTAAGCAAATACCCTCTGTTCTAGCTACCTGTGAGGTACAAATCCACTTAGGTGGAGCTTGAAACAGCCCTCAGTTAAGATGTTTTCTCTGATGAAATACATTAGCAATATGAGACCTTGGTAACAGAGATGGGGCAGTAATAGTAAGTAAGACTGTTGAAGTTTTTCCAGCAAATACCAAAGGAAGTAGGAGGCAAGGACTATAACAGTGAGGGACTACAACAAGGTTAGAAGAGATCAAGTATCATGTCCAGGATCCTACAAAAAAAGGTGAAAAAATGATGTTAAATGAAACCTGTAGGAACACAGATATAATAAAAGTCAGGATTGTTCAGGAAAATCTTGCTTGTAGCAATGTCATTAATTGCTATTTTAAATAAATGGAACTGGTAACTCAGTGGTAGACACTTGCTCAGTATACACAAGTCCCTTGGTAACACTCTGACTTAAAAAGATGGTAAACTACCTTAATATTGACCAACCTTCTGAATTTACAATAAATAAATAATAAAACAATGAATTCTCTGTGGACATCTTTGAATGAATTTCTTCACATGAGCCAAAACCTCATGGTGTTTAAGGTTTCATCAACAGTAACATAAATAGTAATTTATCTGCAGCCATGAGACATGTCAAGTTTCTAAGAGCCAAGCTACGGAACTAGTAAAAAGTAGAGTCGACAAGGACAATGAATGCTTTCCATTTCTTTGGTTTCAAAGAATGTTTACAGTTTCTGTCTATTAAAAAAACAAACAAAAACACTTTTTTACCCCCTCAAACAAGGTTTATCTTGTAGCCTTGGCATGGCTGTCCTGGACTCACTTTATAGCCCAGGATAGCCTCCAATGCACAGAGATCCACCTGTCCCTGCCTCCCTCTTTAATCCTCTGCTGGAATAAAAGACATGGACCACTACCCGCAGCTAAAAAATAACTTCTTTTAATTGGATTACTTGATTTGTTACTGTTTAACTTTTTGAGTTCTTTATATATTGTGGATATTAGCCCTCTGTCAGGTATAGGGTTGGTGAAGATCCTTTCCCAATCTGTAGGCTATCGTTTTGTTTTGACAACATTGTCCTTTGCTTTATAGAAAATTTCAGTCCCATTTATTGATTGTTGATATTGGAGCCTGTGCTGCTAGTGTTCTCTTCAGGAAGTTGTCTCCTGTACCAATGAGGTCAAGGCTGTCCCCCATATTTTCCTCTATCAGGTTTGGTGTGTCTGGTTTTATGTTGAGATCATTGATGCATTTGGACGTTAGTTTTGTGCAGCGTGATAAGTATGGATCTCTAAGCAGACAACTCTCAATAGAGAAATAGTGAATGGCTGAGAAACACTTAAAGAAATGTTCAACATCTTTATTTATAAGAGAAAAGCAAATCAAAACAACCCTGTGATTTCACGTTATACCCATCAGATTGGCTAAGATCAAAAACTCAAGTGACAAAACATGCTGGAGAGGATGTGGAGAAGGGGGAATCCTTCTCCATTGCTGGTGGGAATGTAAACTTGTACAACCACTTTGGAAATCAATCTGGCAATTATGAATAGTGCTACCTCAAGATCCAGCTATACCACTCCTGGGCATAAATCCAAAATATGCTCAAGTACACAACAAGAACATTTGTTCAACCATGTTTATAGCAGCTTTATTCATAATTTCCAGAACCTAGAAACAACCCAGATGGATACAGAAATTATGGTATATTTACACAGTGGAATACTACTCAGCAATTAAAAACAAGGAAATCCTGAAATTTGCAGGCAAATGGAGGGATCTCGAAAAGATCATCCTGAGTGAGGTATCCCAGAAGCAGAAAGACACGCACAGTATATACTCACTTATAAGTGGATGTTAGACATATAATGTATGATAATCATACTAAAATATGCACACCTATAGAAACTAAGCAAGAAGGATAATCCTGGGGAAGATGCTCAATGTTCATTCAGAAAGGCAAAAGGGACCGACATATGAAGAAGGAGGAAACAGGAAACAGGACAGGAGCCTATCACAAAGGGCCTCTGAGAGACTCAACTCAGCAGGGTATCAAAGCAGATGCTGAGACTCATAACCAAACTTTGGTCACAGGGCAGGGAATCTTCTGAAAGAAGGGGGTGACAGAAAGACCTGGAGGAGACTGGAGCTCCACAAAAAGAACAACAGAACCAATAAATCTGGGCCTAGTGGTCTTTTCTGAGACTGACAACCCAAATAAGGACCATTCATGGAAATAACCTAAAACCCCTGTACAGAAGTAGCCTGTGGCAGCTCAGTCTCCAAATGAGCCCCCTAGTAAGGGGAGCAGGGGCTATCTCTGACAAGAATTCAGTGTTTGGCTCTTTGATCATCAACCCCTGACCAGGCAGCAGCCTCACCAGGCCAAAGAGGAAGACTCTACAAGACAATCCTGATGAGACCTGATAGGCAAGGGTCAGATGGAAATGGAGGAGGTCCTCTACTATCAGTGGACTGGGGAATGGGCAATGGGAGGAGATGACAGGGGAGGGAGAGCAGCATTGGGAGGGGACAAGTGTGTAGCTACAGCTGGGATACAAAGTGAATATATTGTAATATATAAAAAATTATATGAAAAACAAATTATATTAAAAACGACAGCCTACAGACTGGGAAAGGATTTTCACCAACCCTATATCTGACAGAAGGCTGATATCCAGACTATATGAAGAACTTATGAAGTTAAAAAAGCAATAAATCAAGTAATCCAATTGAAAAATGGGGTACGAGCTAAACAGAGAATTCTCTGTAGAGGAATATAAAATGTCAGAGAAACACTTAAAGAGATGCTCAACGTCCTTAGCCATCAGAGAGATTCAAATGAAAACGATCCGGAGATTTTGCCTTACACCCATTAAAATGTCTAAAATAAAAAACTCAAATGACAACACATACTGGAGAGGTTGTGGAGAAAGGGGAACCCTCCAACTCCACTGCTGGTGAGAATGTAAACTGGTACAACCACTTTGGAAATCAATCTGGTACTTTCTCAGACAATAGGAATTCCTATTCCTCAAGATCCAGCTATACCACTCCTAGGCATATATCCAAAAGATGCTCAAGTATACAACAAGGACATTTACTCAACCATGCCTGTAGCAGCTTTATTCGTAATAGCCAGAACCTGGAAACAACCCAGATGTTCATCAATGGAGGAATGGATACAGAAATTGTGGTATTTTTACACAATGGAATACTACTTAGCAATTAAAAACAAGGAAATCATGAAATTTGCAGGTAAATGGTGGGACCTAGAAGGATCATTCTGAGTGTGGTATCCTGGAAGGAGAAAGACACACATTGTATACACTCACTTATATAGACCTATAAGATAGAATAAACATACTGAAATCTATACACCTAAAGAAGATAAACAAGAAAGAGGACCTGGGATGAGATGATCAATCCTCACTTACAAAGACAAATGGGATGGACATTGGATGTAGGAGAAAACAAGTAACAGGAAAGGAGTCTATCACAGAGGGCCCTGAAAGACTCTACCCTGCAGGGTATCAAAGCAGATACTGAGACTCTTAACCAAACCTTCGTCACAATGCAGGGAATCATATGAAAGAAGGGGGAGTTAATATGACCTGGAGAGGACAGGAGCTCCACAAGGACAAATATATCTGGGTTCAGGGATCTTTTATAAGACTGTTTCTCCAACCAAGGACCATGTATGGATATAACCTAGAACCTCTAGCTCATATGTAGCCCATGGTAGCTCAGTATCTGAGTGGGTACCCTATTAAGGGGAACAGGGACTATTTCTACCATGAACTCAATGGTGGGCTCTTTGATCTGTCCCCAAGGGAGGAACAGCCTTGCTAGGCCACAGCTGAGGACTTTGCAGCCAGTCCTGAAGATACCTGAAAAAGCAGGGTCAGATAAAAGGGGAGGAGGTCCTTCCCAATCAGTGGACTTGAAAAGGGGCAGGGAGAAAGGGGATTGGGAGGGAATGAGGGAGTGGGATATAGCAGGGATACAAAGTTAATAAACTGTAATATTTAAAAAAGAAGAAAAAACATCTTTTACAGTAGAATAAAAAGAAAGTAGCCTCAAGAAAGACATTTTTCATATATTTTAGAGGGTAAGTAATATAAACTTATAGAAAGAGAAAGGGTCACTGCCATTATAGAATTCATTCTTGTAGTACATGAATTGATGCTTTTAGATCTCTAACATGAAAAGTATGGCTAAATGGCGATTACCTTTCATAAAATTATTTGACTTGGCTTAAAATACATTGCATGACC